ATTCGTAATCGGAACGCACTCGACACCGCTGTCGATATAGGAAATCCGAAAGTGATTTCCACAAAGAAATTGAAGCGTATGTTGAAGAAAGTCAGAATAAGAAGAAATATACGTATAGGTCCTGTTTTGGTTTCTACCTGAAATAATTTAAAAAAAATGATTATGGTCGAAATGCAACCGTAGACGCCAGCTGGCAGTGAAGCTTGCAAATGTTTGATAATTCCTGTTCGCGGAAAACTTAGCAAGTTTCTCTCTTTGGGAGAGTAAGGTACCTTATTCTCTAAATTTTGTTACTGGCTAATTCTTACTGGCAGTTGCATAGCGAACACTCCTTTACTCTCCGAAATTTGGTTACTGGCAAGTTACTGGATATTTTTTGCTGGAGAATACGAAAACTCAACTTATGTTTATAATTTTTATGTAAACGAATGCCCCAATGTATCAAAATCAATTATTTCCTAGACATATTTACATATGTATGTGAACCCAGCAATTTGTCAATCAATTTGTTAAGGCCAAACTGGCAGCCACTAATTTCTCAGTTAAGTGATTCGACCACTGCGTAAATATGTACATACATACCTACTTAAATATGTATATATGTACATATGCCCATTAAAGAAAACAGAAAAGCATTTATATGAAATGCAATCGCAGGTTCTTAACCAAAGTGGACTATTCATTAAAATAAAATGGCTCGCGCTGTTAAGCACTTACGACAAATATATCGCAAACTACATTGGGAGTTTTTGAAAGAAGGTGGCATACATGGCTTAAAAGTATTCTTATCTCGGTCATCTATACGATACGCTAAGTGAGTATTTTTCAGATATGTTCAAATATAAAATTTAAATGTTTCAATTTAGCAAAATTGGACTATCACTAATGGGGTTTGAAAGTTTGCTACTTAAGTATTTAGATACGCCAACACGAATGTGTAAACATACATATGTACATGTAATCTGACACTGGCATCATATAATTTGACATTTTTTATATTAAACCCTGCAAACCAAAGTTCCCGAAATCTTAACGAAATTTTTACGAGTATCTGATTTCTGTAACGATTTTTTTCCGAATCTTCAAAGAAAATTATATGAAATGGTTGACACGAACTCGTAAAGAAATTTCTGTACGAAAAATAAAGAAAATTCTGAAAAAAGTCTGCAAGAAATTCTTCACATAGCAGCATTATTTTCATTTCTTTACCGATTTTCTTCCGAAATTTCGTAAAAGAATGGAAGTGTGCGTAATTTATTTCATTTTAGAAAATTCTGCAAAAAATCGGATGAGATCTCTCCGAATTCTTTAAAAATTCTTTACGATTCAGAATACTCTGAAAAAATGGTTTGCAGGGAAACTACTCAGAACGTTTCGTCACACGAATGCTCTTTACAGATACTTGAAACATTCAATCTAAACCATAGATTTGAACGCATCCACTTTTCAGGCGTTAACAATTTTGACCGCGCATTTTTTTAATATTTTTTTTCGATCTGGGGTATAAGTAGAAATCATTGGGTGACAAATCGGGACTGTACGGCAGATGATCCAATGAGCTCATCTTTGAGAGCCCTCATTATCGTGGTGGTGAAATGTCTTTTGGAGCATGACAATTGAAGTTCTTGAACGTGTAAAGAATTACACCAATCACCACGACTCTTAATCATGAAAATATGATAAATCATGGAACAAATCGATTAAATTGAAAGAGGTACTTATATATGTACATATTTTGTGCTTTTCTTCAATCAATATGACAAAATGGGTATTCCTTCAAACGAATAAGATCATTCATGCATGGAAATAAGAAAACATTTTTTTTTCATGACGATAATTTTAAAAGCAATCGCATAGCTACTAATTTTGTATGTTCCAATCTCGTTGGTGTGGGGAAGGGTATTAAGCGTATATGGAATCGTTTGAATGTATTTTGTTGGGTTCATGTATTTCGCTCAAAACGCTGACCTCAAATTAATTATCGAAGTAACATTTTTTATGCAAACGATGTGGCCTGTCTTGTCACGGGCCTATCACCGCCGGCTGTTTGCAGAAGAGCGCAGGCAATATTAAATATCGTTGAAACTTGGTGCGATGGAAAGCGGCTCACCGCTAACCCAACCAAAACTAGTGTTGTGCTCTTCACTAGAAAAGCATTGACAGCATTTTGGCAATGTAAACAGTGACAAAACGTTGGGTCTGTCATCAAAGGTAATTAATTCTCTTGATTTATACCTTTATGATTAGACTGATAATCAGCTATGCATCAGTGGTATGATGGAGCATACTCTCTATAGATAGCGTGGGAAATCTGCTTGCTACGCTTCAAAGAACTATCGCCATGTGCGTTCCTCTTGATGCACTGCTGCACTTACCGTCAACTTTGTGTCTTCAGACGTTGGGCAGGCTGAAAGGTCACCTGCAGACTAAAAAGAAACTGACAAGAGACTTCGATTGTCTACTAGGATAGAGAGCGGCTTCTTTGGATGCAGAGAAGTTGATTCTTTTCTTTTCTAGGGTAGAAGTTATGGTTCTATATTTAAAGATGATAGTTATTCAGTGACATTTGGAAGCGTCAATCCCTTTGCTCCAGATTCAATCGTCTATTAGATAGTGCTCCGAGTTAACTAAAGCACCCACCTACATCCAGAAAGCAACCTACAGCCACCTCTTTGTTCTAAATACTGGTATTACGAACCGCAGTCGATTTAACGATGAGCTGTTCGAGATTTACAACGATATAGACATAGTGCAGCGAATTAAAATTCAGCGGCGCCGCTGACTAGGTCATGTCGTTCGAATGGCCAGAAACGCTCCAGCTCTGAAAGTATTCAACGCGGGTCGCGATGCTGCTAACAGAGGAAGAATTAGGCCTCCTCTGCATTGGAAAGACCAGGTGGAGAAGGACTTGGCTTCACTTGGCATTTCCAATCGGCTTCAGTTGGTACAGAAGAGAAATGACTGGCGTACTGTTTTAGACTCGGCCAAACCCGTTCAGGCGGTTGCAGCGACAATAAAGAACAAGAAGAAGTGGTATTATAAGGGGAAGCAGGTGGGCCCGGGGGCTGTGTAAGGCTCGGAGGCAGGTATAACCCCCCTTAGGCTATCCTCAACAAACTGTCCTCTGGACTAATCCAGTCATGTGATCCAAATCTGCGTGTGGATGGTTCGGGGTGTGCCCAGTGGTGAGCAGCCAGGGATAGGCACATCAGTTACCGAATAGAGAAATTCCTTACAGATGTTTGTTGACGATCCTTCAGGTCTTCTTCTTAGCAGACCAATTTCATTAGTATGCATTAACGAAGCACTTGTCCTTGGGCGCGATAACTAGGTGACCTACATAGTTCCTCCTCTAAATAATAATCTAATCTAGTCTGATCTAATCCATTATAATCTCATCTCTCGGGACCAACTGCTGAAGACCTACCAAACCATGAACCCTGTTATCGATAATTATTTCTATGTAGTTCAAATTTTCTTTTCAGACACATTTGGTTAATTTTTCTCGCTGGCATTATTATCATTACTCACATTATAATTATCAACTTAATTTTTCAATATTTGGATCAACCAACTGAGGTGCGATTGTCCACTATGAGAACGCATGTTTCTAGAAGTCCATTTCCAGCTGTCGCTGTTTGTAGTGCTAATAAGATAAGTCGACACAAATTGATGCAATATGCGGAAAAGGTGTAAGTATATCCTGCATTCTTGCAAAAATATTTACTTTGATATTTTGTAGCCAATAAAAGATTAGAATGTTCACTTAATATTTGATTAGTACTTTATATAAACGTTTGATTATTTGATTACCGTAATAAATTAATCGCTGTTACAGTGTTTAAAAGAGCATTAGCATAAGTTGAATTGTCCAAATGCCAATTATGTAGTTTACTTTTCACTAAATAATTATAGCTGTCTTAACAAAGAGAGTACTTTTCAAGGCCTCCCTGATATATTGAGGCAATTTGTAGCCTATAACCATTCTTGGAAAGTCTGCAGTAGGTGTCTAAACTATCAAAAGAAGAAAACGGTGCAGAACTTTTTGAGTTAACATGGTTATATATATACATACATATAGGACAACGGGGATCGAACCTGAGCTTTATGCATGTATGTATATTTAATGTATGGAAAGCTTAAAAAAGCTCGGCGCATTTTATTTGGAGTAACCAAATCTGGTTTCAAACAGTGGTCGGCAACTCAATGCTCTCTAAGCGCATCCTCAGCAGAGAATTTTCTGGAATGAGTTCTATGTTAATAAGCCACTATCGGTCGTTAGACCCTTGTGTATGTAATGTAACTCAGATCGTTGCTCAAATGTAGTCGGATCTATACAACAGCGTTATTGACAATTGGACAGCCCGAAAATTTGCTACCGTGAGGAGCCGTGTTGCATATGGCTCATAAATATAGAAAAGTATTTCATTATTAAATAATTTCTTTCTACGACTATGCACATTAGGGCGGGTAATTTTTCTGTACCATGCGTGTATAGAATAGGAGGATTATACATGTATTTCTAAAGAAACCATGGGTCTTAAACGGATTTGGAGTTTGCCAAATTCTGAAAATAGGTTTCGAAGAAAATATGAAAATTTTCACTGTTCCGCTCTCTGGTGGAAGTTTTAAAACAAAAAAAACGGTGCAGATATGGCTTCCTCATACCAAAATATCCCCTATAACATATTTTTATACAAAATGTAAGCACTTCTTTACGACACTACAGCAAAATACTAAAAAATCTATTTTCGCAATTTGGCAAACTCCAAATCGATTTTAAACCCATGGTTTCTTCGGCAAATTTACTTAGAATTACATGTAGAATCCTTCTGTGCTATACGCGCATAGTCGAACAAATCGCCCATACAAATTGACCCGCCCTAATATACAGACATACATATGTATTGTATTTGTTGGTGCCTTTTTATTTTTTTTTTCAAGTACCTTTTATTTATTTATTTTTTATGCAATTTTATTTAATTTTTATTTTTTTCAACTTAGTCGAAATAGCCTAGCACTTTCACCTCATTCACCATAGCCACCAGGCCGTCCAAAATTTCCTCCGCAGTTGGTCTTATCTGATCGGCTGGCAGTTCCATGCCATTACCGTTGAAACTACCATTCGGGCGCAGTTCAAAGCAAAACGCCATGCGTATACCTGTCTTGGAGTAGGCATAATCGACACTTGAACCAGCGGCCGGGTAAATGGCATCATAAATATTACCGCCAGTATAGACGGTGTCGTAACGTTTACTGATCGCTTTGAGGGTAACATTATGGACTTGTTCGTAGTCTTTGACGTTATCTGGTAATTCTGGCGTATCTCCATTCGGATATAGCAAATATTGCGAAAACGAATGGAATGAAATATACAATTTGACTACACTTTTCAAGGAGTCAACATAGCGAGAAAGCGATTTAACTTCAATTTCCGAATTAGCTGCACTACCGGCAAACGTTTCCGAACACGGATTACTGCTAGCACCCACTGTATTCCACGAAACATTCCAATTACGATTGGGATCGGCACCATAGCAACTGCCGTATGGTTGTCGCGTCTTACGCCACATGCGATTGGTAGTGTGTGTATAGACATAACCATCGGGATTGGCATGCGGGATGATGTACCACTCGTACGTTTCAGCTAGTTCTCTAACTTGCTCATCAGTGGAGGTCAGCAAAGCATCGATGACATATGTGGCCGTTGCAGGCGCAATCCATTCACGTGCATGTATACCGGCTTCTAAAAATATGCCAGGTTTCTGCTTTTTCCCATTGTGAAGTGAAATTTTTACACCCAAAATCGAACGCTTCTCATAGCTTTTGCCACCTTCGATGAGTGTTACATTGCCAGGATAAGACGAGGCCAACGATCGCAACCAACTGTAGTGGAAGTCAAGTGTTTGATAGGCAGACCATTGGTCAGTGGTGGCGCGTGTCGCAATCTGATTATAATCTTTTTCCAACGCTGTTTGTAAATTATTTTCCACCAAATTGTAGTCGATATCATTAACATCCAATACCAGCAGGAAATCAGAGACTTTATGTGGCGGTACCACAACCTTTACGGTTCTATTTATTTTGTGAACACCGTCTAAGAAGAGCAGCGAATCGCTAGTATCTTCCATTTGCTTGAGTAACGCCAACTTTTCGCGATTGGAGGCGTTCACCTCATAGACTCGATAATTATCAAAGCGTACGCGTTCACCATTAGTTAAAGCCAAAGCCGTTAGGCAGAGTATCAAAAATAACCCGATATTCAGTGACATTTGATGTGTCAGTGGCAAAGCGCTTGGGCAAATAAATTTCGCAAGATTTAGTGCCCTACATTTATAAACTTATTAGTGTTGTAATTAAACATGCAGATAAGAACACCTTGGCAGATTGCGAGCTAAATGTGGCAAATGACCATTAGTTATAGATTTGATAAGCCAATTTTATTGCGGTGATAGAGCCTTATGCAGCAAACTAGAATTTTTTTTTTATGTATGTGTGTATGTTAGGGCGGGTCAATTTGTATGGGAGATTTTTATCTCGATTATACGCTTAAATGTTGTATAAAAATGTTAGAAGAGCTTTTTGGTATGAGGAATTCATTTCTGCACTTATCTCTTTCTTAAAACTTCCACCAGAGGGCGCATCAGTGTAAATTTTCACATTTTCTCCAAATTGATTTTAGACACATGGTTTCTCCGGCAAATTTGCTTACAATTACACGTACGTCGTCGTAAAAAATATTTGCCTGCCCTAATGTATGTATATTAGACCGCATCACCTTACATGAAAACAAAATATTTCGCCTTGCACCATTGAGTTTAAAGTATTTTTGCAGGGAATTTGGAAAAAACCTGATCGAACCTGGGGGTTCTCCTTTACAATTTTCGGTGTTACCTTCATTCAGCAATAAATTTGTTCTACTGCAATAATCAAAATACTTCCTTAGCAAAATTTAAATGATTTTTGGCGAGATTTAATATACCGGCATTAAGGTGGTAAGTTAGGGTGTTGGTACTAGATATGCTGAGTAAGTGCTGGAAGGGGGGTACTCGAAGTCAATGAATTTTAGAACAAAAAAATGTTCTCCTCGAGACAGAAACATCGATATATCATACTTTGTATATCATACAAAATATATAAAATATTTTTCGAAATTGCCTTGCAATAAGTAACTTTTAAGCACACAAGTAATTCTTAGGCAAAAAACTCGACCGACTTCAATTCTCATATACAAATTTAGGACCACCCTTGATATACCAACTTCCCGATAAAAAAGAATTATCGAAATCGGTTCACGTGTTCCAAATTTTCCGACGATTTGATAACCTGCTCTTTTTTGAAGTCGGTTAAAAATAACACGGACTTCCATGCTCATATAAAACTCCTAGATTTTTATATGAGCATGGAAGTCAGTTGTATACCGTTGATTTCTTCGTGACACAATGATCGGAGCTAAAACACCCTTGAGGTACCACCTTTCTGAGAAAAAATAAAATAATCGAGAACTGTTTACGTGGTGCAAAGTATCATAAAAAAAAGAAATTTTCGATGAATTGATATGATAACCTTCCTACTTTTTTTAAAGTCAGTTAAAAATACTTTAGACTCAGGAGTGTACGGCGATCTTTTCTTTCTGGTATGGTCTAATGTACATATCTATACATATGTAGTGGTGTAGGGAACCATTTTGATCAGGTCAATGTGTAGCAAAAAAAAAATTAAAAAAAAAATATATATATATCATAATTCTTCATTGATTATCCCCTAGGAACTATGGGCAACGGCTATCCAAGATTTCAATCGTTTACTAAGAAGTTTAAGTTAGTTCACAAAGACTGTCATTTTCAAGATTTCACTTGAAGGCTGTCTAGAGTCATGGAGATTCCTAGACGATTTTTTTTTTTGTGATTTTAACCAGCCCCTCCAATGAAACTATGTCTAAACAGTCTAGATCCTTTTAGAAATATTTCCTCAGAAATCTACGGAGTGCGTGACATTCGCAAAGAAAGGGGTTTCCTCATCTGTATAGCTTCTATAGAAATCCATATGCTGGACTCCCAGCCTGGCAGCCTCATGATCAGGCCACGATAAAATCATGATGATGGATCCGTATGTGCGGCTTAAACAACCTCAGTAAGCTGTGTTTTCTTCGTTCGTCGAGCGATAGCCAGAGTAAACGCAAAGCTCTTGTGAGAGCTAGTACTACCTTAGGCCCTCTCACAGTCATCTGCTTTTCATTTCCCAGAACAAAGCTCTGCAAGTTAGCAGTTGCCGACTTAAGGACTTGATAGCTGCCTGAATATGAAGCACGAAGGCAAGTTTTTATTAGCAATACATAATATACTCAACAACTTTTCCGCCAAGTAAATTGAATGCATCTCATCTTAAAGTCCTAGTAGACGTCTATGAAGTTTGGAAAGTTAGTGTTTTACTCACAGTTACTTCTGTTGGGAAAGGTAACTTTGAAATTGTGTGTAAAGTCGTTCTGCATAATTTATTACTGACGACTAGTGTGTTTCGACTATATGAAGGCGGATGGAAAGAATAGTTCACGTGACACGTGGTAAAGATGGGCTTATTGCCATGCCCTCCACCGAATTCGACGAAATTTCGTTAGTACTCTCTCTTTTATTAAAATAACCTATATAATTAAATATAAAATATGGAGGTAATGGGGAACTATAACGTCTACAAATCCCAAAACTATCATCATTAAATATGATGGAATTTGGCCATTTTTTGTTTCCTGCTTTCTACTCTCAGTACAACAAAGGTCATACTTAAAATTTGAATAGGAGTAAATATTCTTAATTCCCCAAATTTCTGGGGTGATTTTATTATTATTCGAAGAATTATTTTCGCGAAATTAAGCAATAGGAAGAAGAAAATCGAAAATTATATATAGTATATGTGCAAAGTCGCGCGAAAAGATCCAATTCTATGCTCGTAGTAAATGATGTCAAATTTTTGTATTTATGACTTTTACTATTCCCTCTCTAGGCCCAACCGGATTTTTAGGACTTCTTTCCACCTGCCTCCATATAGTCGAAACTAAGGTGGTAGTCATGCCATATCCGCAACCATCTGCGAGTGAATGTCGCAAAAGTGTTCTGCCATGCGACCTTTGCAAGTTGTACAAATGAGTGTTGATTTCAACCGACTTGCCCAACCATCGTACGTGATAATAATTCTTACAGCTGCTTTCCTCGGAAATTTTTCCGCATTATGTAGCTTAATATTTTGGTATTTTAAAATTTAAATTCCAGTATTTTTTCATGCTTTTAAGAGCGTATTTCAATACATTTCTGACCAGGATAAGCAGAGCATTCGAATACATATTCTGCAACCTAAATGCCTTACAGAGTGGTGTGGGGCTTAAACGCTTTTATCATGCGTTTCCCTGCCAGTGGAAAAGAGACCCCGCCTCTAATCATTGGTTTTCGGTGATTTCCTCCCCATTCTCATCCTCTTCTACAATCTTATACAGCCGACTCGTTCTGGTGAACAATTCGTTCGCCGGCGCAATCGCCGTGATGAAAAGCACAGTTCGCCGATGGATCGCAAAAACGATACACTAAAAGTGAAAGTACATAACGTGCATTGCGTCGCCGTCACCGTTGAAACGATCGAAATGTGGACCACATCGACATCGAATCGAATTCGATTCGATGAGAAAAAGCACGTCGGAACGACGTTGCGGTTTACTCAAACGACTTCACCAGATCGACGTGGTAACGACATCGATTCGAACTCATCCACGCTCTGTGGCAAATTGGATAGACTGCTAGCCATAGTGAGCCGACAACACCGAGTACTACACTTCGCTTCCGGCGTGTGCGGTCGCTCGTTTAAATAATTTAACGCTGACACAAATTCCACCACTCTTCGCAGATATGTCGGGCTTCTTACTTGACCTTTTAAAAGTTTTAGATGACTACAAAGGTTGTAAAGGGATTGTCGCCGCACACATACATATGTACATATGTACTTAGGTGCCGTACTTATTTTACAGCACTGCAAGCCTTTAGATGAATGAAAATATATGCTTCAGGAGGGGTGATCACGGCTTTTCCAGACCCCCAGCTCCTCTTGCAGCTGTCCAGCTTTGATCGAACGCTTGTCGAGCCGCCACCCATTTCAGCCCCAACGTTGGCAGTGTGCGAACGAAGTAAAATACCGTTTCTGAGTCCAATTAATCATCGGTGAAAAGGAGAGTAGCGCTGTCAGAATACCGAAGGAAGTGGCAACGTAACGTTGAGAGACGCCACGATGAAGGTAGCCACTAAGAAGGAGTGCATATAGCGACCCTCACCAAAGTATGCACCGCTACCGAAAGTTACCAAACGATTCAGTAACGGTCACAAGCAGACTCAACATCACCCAAAACTACCGGACAACCTTTCATCTGTCGCCACCAGTACTCTCAGCATTGCAAATAGTCACGTGCATTCACCGATCGCCTCCAGCGCTCTCACCATTTCCGCCGAAAGCAACCTATACTGGCAACACTTAGCGTCGCCGGGGAGAGTCACCAATTGTCTACCGGCACCAATACCAGTTGGGGCGCCGTAGCTGAATGCCGCCGCAAGTTTCGCCATGGCAGGCGTTCACTGCTTCTCTTCATGGCCAATATCATTTTGGTCGTCTTCTCTATCTTTTGGTAAGCTAAACTGTTGGCACGCTATGTGAGGGAAGTCGACTCTGGGTCGACAGAGAACTACCCCAGCCTAATAATAATTTTTTGACGTCTCCGAGCCGCAATCAGATTTTCTGATAAGCTTTTCATGGCAACAATGCACTCGGAGGGTGGCCAATGCCTGCCGACGGGCGAATGCTGACAGAAAAAATTTTACCGGTCCTGGTAGCACGCACCCATAACCACTCTGCCACAGCGGCTGGCTAAAGTCTACTGGTAATTTTACAAGTGGATTCCAATCGGCATCTTTCACGGGATAATTTTCTTTCGGAACTCGTGGAAAAGTTTACATGTTTGAAGAGGGATACTTTATTGCCTTACAGGATTAGGAAGCCAAACAATGTGTACGAGAGATATCTGAACCATCTCGTTAAGAGATCGGCGATGTTGACTATGACCGTGGGCTTTAGTTTAGGACAAAAATGTTGTAACATCTCTGTTTATTTTTTGACTTTTTGAGACCTCTGACCTTTACCCGCTGTTTCTGAAACACTTATGAGGAAATGTAAGTTGAATGATTTAGGTCAGAAAGATTACACAGGTTTACAAAAAAAAAGTTTATGCATATTTAACCAA